TTTGACCAAGTCACAGCCCCACAGACCACAGTTAGTTACATCGTTTGTAAAATAAGGGTAACATTGGCTAGATTATCTCTATAGATAATCTCTCCAAGCAGGTATTTCTACAATGATGTTTCACCTCTTTTGGATGGATGGCGGGGTGTGGCGGCTGGAAGTCTTGCTGGGGAAATAGATTATTGAGACACCGGGGAACAAAGGGGGTACATGTGGGCATGCAGACATATTAAATTTCCCTATGTCTCCCTCCTCTAGTCCACCATTCAATTTGGGCATCAAGAACAGAGAGAGAGACACACAGACACTGCAGGGGAGGCTAAAGCTTCTGTCTGCCATGTGGCCAGGCGACAGCTGGCTTTGGGAATGGGACTTCTTGGGTTGCCAACTTGAACTGGCATCACCCATCACCTGTGGAGATGGGAGCAGAGGGAAGGAGAGTTGAGATCCAGGCCTGCAGCAGAGATGCAAGCTGCCAGCTAAGACTGTAAGGAACATGGCTGCCAAGGGGAATTCCAGAGTTTTGGGGTCTGCCAGCTATCATGGAATATGGAGGAGAAGTAAGCTGGGGACAGAGAGACCAATTTTTCTCTCTATAGTCTGTCCTATAGGTCTGTCCTTTCTCTCCTGAAGGTCTGTCCCGGGTTAGAGTCCAAAGCATGTGCACACGCGTGCACACTCACACACACACACACAAACACGTGGAAGCACACAAACACAATATATATTTATTCTTTTATCACCCCACCCCCAAATCCAAGGGACTGAGAAGATTTGCAGGAGTTGATTGGATGGGATGTAGGTACTTGATTTACTTCTTTCCTCTTTTTTCTCTTCATAGAATATTTGGTTGAGATGAGTTAGGGTATTTCTCAGATCATTGAATCCACTCATTTTACATCTAAGGAAATTTAGCCTCAGGGATATTAAATGACTTGACCAAAGTCACACAGGCAGTGAGTGTCCAAGGTGGGATTTGAACCCAGATTCTCTGGCTCCAGATCCAGTGCTGTTTCTACTGTGCCAAAGTTTAGATGAATCATAGAACTGTTGCTGAGTTAGTAGAGATATGGCAGTCTTTAGGAAGGTCTACATAAGCACATGGAAAAGGAGAAAGCTGGATAAACTCTGTTGAAACCAGTTGGCTGGTGTCCACTTGGTGGATAAATGACACATTATACTCCCTTGCTAGTTAATTAAATAACTCATTAATTGAGTGACAACCTGTTTGCTGTAGGTTTATGGAAATCAGGTTGGTTAAGCCTGTGTGACAATAAGAGCTGGCTGGGACAAGTACTGACACCACTGCTCTGCTAAGATAAACAGAAACCAAACTTCTTGGCACAGTGGTGAAACCCAGGTCTTTCCAACTATACATGCATAAAAGAAGTTAGTTATCCTTTTATTAACAAAAGTCTTGTCTCCTGATAAAGTTATCTTAGGCAGTAGCAAACATGGCATCTGGGGTGGGAGCAGGGGAGAGCTGGCTCCAGTATGGCTTCGCTGGCTCACTCTAGGGATGTCGATCCATCTTTCTGAGCTTCAGTTCCCTCATCCATAAAACGAGAATCCTCCCTCCCTCCCAGGTTGGTGGTAAACAAAAGGGCTTTTGAAACTTAAAACGTCATAGAAATGCAAATAAATATAATAATAATTTTTATTTTCCATGAATCATAATATGCCCAAGATCGGCTCTAGCTCTTATAACTGTTTAAGGGTTTTTGTTTTTTTTTTGGAGTGCCTGGGGGGCTAGGTCAGAAGGGATAGGCAGGATCTTTCTCTTTCCTTCCTTTAACCCTAACTTCTTAGCTCTCATGTCTCCTCTCCCCTCTCCCATCTTACTAGGCCCTTTTCTAATTCCTTGTCTAGGTTTTTTTTCTCAACATAGCAATCATGTGACTCCCCTTTAGGGTAGAAGGATCATACTGTTTAACAGCTATAGTTTCTACTGTCTCAAGTCCTCCAGGAAATGAGAGGCCAGGGGCAGAGATAAACTCAGGTGTATGTGCCAGGAAGATGAAGGCATGAGGAGCACAGATGAGGGCTTGTACTGCGTGGGAAGAGCACACAAATCCTTGGGCTGTGGAGTAAAGGGCTAGAACCTCCAGCTGTAGGGCAGTAAGGTCCAGAGGCAGTGTGGTTCAGTAGAAAGAGGCCCAATCTAAAGTCCAAGACCTCTGGCACAGATCCCAGCATCCACACTTGTTCCATGTGTGTGGACTTGGGCAAATCACTCTCCCTGTCTAAGCTTCAGTTTTCTCATCTATAAAGTAAAGTGGCCTAGATGACCTCTCAGGATCTTTCCAGCTCTGGATATATGGTCCTATGGACTTTTGTCATGTGGGAGGGACATGTGAGTAATTAAATTTTATCAGGAAAAGCTGGGGATAATGATGCTGAGCTAATAAAACACAAACAGGAAAACCAAAACATCAGTCTGACTGTATAAAATGTTAATTGCATTCCCTTTTGTGAGTGACCTACCAAATGGTCTAATTACCTTGCAGCAAAACAGTGATAATACATGTCATCAAATGGGTATCAAATTATGCTTGTTCTAAGTCGTAGTTGATTATATTCCGTGTCTTCCCTCTCCCTAGCTCATTGTCCATGTGATGTAATTGTCTGCTCACTACTGGATGGTCCTGACTCAGCTCTATAAGCTAGTTGATGGAAAAGGGGCAATTATGGTGCAGGCTTTTATTTTACAGACTTTCAAATTCATCTTTCTCCTCTGGTGCACAGAATGGGCTCCACAGGAGAACAGTGTGATGGGCTTCTTTCCTGACTCAGCTCCAATCACAAAAGATGCCCGTTTTCTATGTCTATTGCCCCCCTGATTTTTTTTTTCTGTTTGACATGATTGAAGATGACACATGGAGGCAACAGGTGACACTGCCTGCCTGCCTGCTCCAGCCATTCTAGGGCACTTCCTATTGACAGCATAGCTCAGCCACCCAGCATAGCTGCTGGTCTGCTTGCAGAGACCAGATTTTGTTGCTGAGGATGGAGAGGCATGGCTTTCCTATGAAAAGGCCAGGAGACCCCCAGAGTGGCCCCCATATCATGGTGAAATGCTGTGGGGGATAGATCCCTGACCCATGTCTACTGACCATGGCCAGAGAACAATATTGTTCAAAGGAACACAGATCTAGAATTGGAAGGAATTTTGGAGCTCATCTCTCCTTTTACAGGTGAATAAATTGAGGCCTGAATAAACATGTAGGCCAAGGGATTTGCTCACAGTCATTATTCAGGGAATCCACTTCACAGCTCATTTTGGTTAGACTTAGCCAAGTGAATTGTTCCAAGACTGGAGTCATCTGTTTCTTTTTATAAAGGATCTCAGGATTCACTTCAAGAAAAATGGGCTAGATGATCTCTAAGGTATCTCTACTTGTCTATGAAGAGCCTTAAACTATAGCAAAGGCAGCACTATCCTGGGAATCTTGGCTTTAGAATTTTGTGTTCAGTCCACCTGCCAACTCTCTGTGTGATCCTGGGCAAGAGTCCTATTTAGGAGAAAAAAAAGGGTGAGCACAGTTACCCTCCGCTTGCTTGGCATTTCTAGCATACGTATAATTTAAACATGTTCCTAGAAGCTCCTGTAAGCATTGGGATTTTGGAAATCCTAAAAGTCGGTTGTTTATGACATCATAGCTACATCAACTACTCTTCTATAAACCCCCAGACTGCATTCAAATAACTCATACAATGGCTAGATTCAAACCACTGACCCAGAAGCAAAAAGCAGTGCCCCATATAATCCCCCCTGAGTCATCTAGAGTTTGACCTTTTTTTCCCTTCCTTTAAATTTGTTTGCCCACTTTCCCTGGATAAAAAGTCACTTGCATTTCTGAACAGCTGCTCTATCTGGAGGGAAGTCTCTGTGTCAAGGCTGCAAAAGAAATAGTGTTCTTTATATACTAACGTGAGAAAGATAATTCTTAAGTTATGACCATGCTAGTCAAAGCTGCCTTTTCTCTGTGAAGAGGTGGAGAGAAGGTGATGAGGGGGAGGGTTGAAGGCCTTTCATTCGTTGCTGCATCTGATCCACCTTTTCATCTGGCAGCAAATGAGCACCCCCAATAGAAAGCATGCATCAAAAGGATCACTCTCCTCCCCCTCTGAAATTATGCAGCTTTTGTTGTCATTGGCGCTGGGTGGTTATTGAACTTTGCAGACCTGCTGGGCCCAAAGAGTGAAAACACCATCCAAAGTCAGCAGGGTGGTACTGTGTGCCTTAGAGATATGGCTTGTGCAACGGAAGGCACTGGTGGTTGCCATGGCATTGTGACACCAAGATCATTCCTTATGAATGTCACTAGGGGCTGTGACTAAAGTGGTTTAGGAGTCAAAAGGCTCATGGAACTCCACAAGGCAAAGATGACCGCACCTCAATGGGATATGGGAAAGGGGCTGAGGGAGATAAGTCTTTAAATGAGAGATAGAGAGGAAGACAAGATGAGCGAACTGACATGTCATTAGTCACTGTGTGTAGGGCAGAGAAACCAAGGTTGTCTTTTCAATTGGCTATGTAGCGCTGCTGAAATTGCCTAACGTGGCAATCACAGGCTCACTTAGTGGCATAGAAATGACGTCTCTAAGAGCCCCAAAGTTTTAAGCACTGAATCTACTTCTGTTCATTTTTGTTTCTCTAAAGGTTACGAAGTTTTAGACTATGGGTTTGGGAGCCGAATTAAAATGAGGCAATCCACTCCTCATCTTTTTCCTCCTTCTCATAAAGGAAGCTTTGTTGGCTACTGAGAAATAGTTATTTATTCAAGGTAAATCAACAAAACGCCAAGCAAAGTGTGGGAAGATGTCAGTAAAGAGAAACTGAGAAGAAGCACACAAGGAAAAACATGCACAGATTTTACATCTATCATTGGAGCACCCATCCCCAGAGGAAAAGAGAGACAGAGAGATGGTCCCTTCTCTCCAGACTGCCCCTTTCTCTCCTGTAAACTAGGGTGAGAGGTGGCGATTTTCCTGTTTACCTCTGACACTGTACAGGAGAGCTGGAAGATCTGGCCTTCTCCCTCTACCTGCCGCACGCAGAGCTTACAAACTAACTCCGCTGTGGTGAGGCTGAATCTTTCCAAGGTGAAGGTACAATGGAGATTTCTTTGACAACCGCTCCAGATATGGTAAAAAGGAATTTCCTATAGGACAAACAAATGAGATGAAATGAAATGAAAGTTTCCAAAAGCTAAAAAATGAAATTGTTTCAAAGAATCCATCAAGAAATAACTTAGTAATGATAAAGTAAGTCACATTTCTATAGAACTAGAAGATAGGGTTTATTAAAAGACATTTTGATAGGACAGGGAGGTGGGAGTAAGCTTAAAAGGGAGACAGATAGAGACAAGATGTGCGTTGATTTCCTCATTTAGCTCCTGAATGAGGAAGCTTCTTCTGCCAATGCAGGTCAGCACCTTCTCCATATGTTATAGTACTTGCTTATACTCACGCAGCCAGGATGCATCAGAGAAAGGAATCGAAATACCTTCTGGCTTTGAAGCTGGCTCTATATCCTCTCTGTCCCAGGGCCTCTGGACTTAGCATATAATACATAGGTTCAGTATACTTTCATACATTATCGTCACCTTTCATAGGATAGGTGCTTAATAGAAACTCACTATAGCCTTCCAACAAAAGGCATCACTGATAAACTAATAATATTGACAAGGCCCCCAGAACAGGACTTTTCCTAGAAAAACAAATAGGCCCTAATGAAAACACAAAAACACAACACAACATTTAAGTTACAGTTAGGAAAACACCTTGTTGTTTCTCTAAGAAGTGACACATTGGGCTGATTCATAGAATTGCAGTTATCTCTGAGACTGTAAGTCACAGAGAAGGTGCTGATCTCCACAGATAGAGAGAATTTCCTTTTCAGAAGTTCCCTACAATAATGAAATTGCAGATCTAGTCCAGGGTTTCTTAATCAATGAAATAGGACATTGGCCCAAATCTAAGGGAGGGATCTGTTGGATTTCGTTGTGCTGGATGTAAGGTAAGACGTCTCAGGAGAGCTGAGACAGGAGAAAGGACAGTAGTTCAATCAGAAAGATTTAAAAAAAACAGCATGGTCATATTTAGGCAAATTAAATAAGAAAAATGCAGCATATATGCACTTTCTCTCATTGTATTTGTTACTGTTTTAAGTATGTAAATGAGCCAAAAAGGTGACTTACATATATATGCACATGCACATATACACACATATATACTCACATGTATGTATATGCATATATACAATTATATGCATATACACATAGATATAGATATAGATATATACCCATATACACACACATATATATATACACACACACATATACATACACATATATACCCAGCTAGCTAGCTAGCTAGAAATATATAGGCAGGAATGTAGAAGGAAAGGATTCCCTTCATCTTCTTAGAGTGAAATATGTACACTGGCTGATATTAATAAGCAAATACTAGGTCTTTGGCTTGGGTGAATATACAATTCACATGTTAACTCATTGAAATGTTGCTGAACCTTCTTGGGCTAGCTATTAGAAGGTTTGTGCTGTGGGATATTTAGGTCTAACTGATTCGGTATGAAGGGAATTCCTCTGAGAACCCATAGGATGAATGAAATAAGGTAGCGGTCCAATAGTTTAAAACGTATTATTTTATTGCCTTTAACCCATAGTGGTTTAAAAAAAACACCCTCAATTTTAGTTTCTTTACTGAGGTTACTTCTCAACTTTCAAAGTTAAATTACAAAACTGGCAATGCTGAAGCCTAATTTGGATCATATGGTAAGACTGCTCTTGCTTGAAATCGATCCAATTTAAGGATAAACAGTACTTCCTCCTCCTTCTCCTCCTCACCCTATTCCCAATAAATGCATTCGGAGACTGGATTTGCTGAACCACTACAAATATTTCTGTGGAAATTTATTGGGAAGACTGATTCCCTCTTTTCTTAAAAACATAGAAAATTATTTTTTGCAACCATTTTGAGCTTGAATTGGAAAATCCCAGGGAGTCTCAGAATATCCCAGAGATGCACTCTCACTAGAGATTAATTTGGAATAGGGTGTGGGGAGGAGGGAGCAGATCCCTTGCTCTGATTTGCTGTTTGCACTTTTTCACACCTTCAAGTCCTGACACTTTCACTTTTGCTTGGACTCTCACCTGGTACTTAGCAATCAGTTTACTCTTCCAGAGGGAATGGGCTATGTCGTGAATTGACAAACGCAGGTTATGGGTGCTGCCTTTAAAATGGAGGGTCTTGGGTTCTTCTAGGAGCTGCCCTCCCATTTGTCTCTCCAGCTGCAGAACTTCCTAAAAACAAGCAAAGATGGCAAAAAAATCAGCATCGAGCTGCATCATTTATGTCAACTCTCACCAAATGAGCAGATTCCCTAATGCTGTGAATGCATGATCAAATAGAACCCAGCTACCATAATGAGCAGTCAACTAGTTTCTGGAGGGAAGAAGCTGTGAGATTGGATTTTATTTCTATCTCCTTAGGAGTCCTTAACTTCTATCACTGCTGCAGAAGAAGAATGCAAGAACGGTGGATTCCGTCAAGGTCACCTGAAGTCATGGAGTGTAACTGAATACAGCAAAGTCTCAAGCATTTGGAACCTAACCAGAGCCCTCCCTCAGCCAATAGACCCTTCACACTCCATGTCCCCTCTAGCTCCCTCTTCTTGATTTTTTAGAAAAAAAAAAGGCAAAAAAAGCCCAACCCATACAAGAGATTTAAACAAAAGCTCAATAATAACTATAGTTATTTTATTTAAGTAAGTTTAAATTAAGTAAGTTAATATAGGAGTATATGCTAAGGAAAGTACATAATCAGTGCAACTCCTAATTAAATAGGTGTTTGTGTATACATGCAGTCTCCCTACACATACACACATATGTATGTGTTTGTGCATGTGTGCATGAGTGCATGTGTGTGTGTGTGTGTGTATATGTGTAGGGAGACTGAGGTTTTTCACTGGCCAAAGGGGAACACAGAAAAAAGCAGATTTGCTATTATATTTGGGCTCATGAAAACTTCATCTCCACATGTTTGGAGAAAATTCAGTAAGTTGTACAGAAAGTTGAAGTTTATGATGATGACCCGGAAGTATTTAAATAGTATCAACCATCAAAGAGTGATTTAGCTGTGCTTTGACTGTAGCCGGTCTGAGACCAAAATGGTGAACCTCTGGGAGCAGGCTGGAAGGGGACTCACTAAGCTACTTAAGAAGGGGCAAAATAGCCTAGGGCAGAAATAGCAAGTCAAAGTGCTTGTGCTGAACAGTACTGAACATGGGATTGAGCCCATGAGTGGCTTCTGTGCATCCAGTGTGGGCAAGATATACAGAAGAAGGAAGGAAGGAAAGAAGAAAGAAAAGAAGGAAGGAAAGAAAAAATTAAAGAAGGAGGGAGGGAGGAGGAAAGACAAAAGGAGGAAGGAAAGAAGGAAAGAATGGAGGGAGGAAGGAATGAAAGAATGAGAGAGAGAGGGAGGAAGGAAGGAAAGAAAGAAAAAATGAAGGAAGGAAGGAAAGAAGGAGAGAGGGAAGGTAGAAGGAATGAAAGAAGGAAAAAAGGGAGGAAGAAATGAAGGAGAGAGGAAGGAAGGAAAGAAGGGAGGGAGGAAGGAAGGAAAAGGAAGGAAGAAGCAAGGGAGGAAGGAAAGGAAGGAAGAAAGGAAGGAAGAGAGAAAAGGAGGGAGGTCACGCAGGTAGTGATTACCACAAGAATGGCGTGTGATGGCCAATTTAATACTCTTTTCACTACATTACTATACCATGGTGTGATGCGTCTCCTTTAGCTTTTCTTTGCTACCAGTAGCATTGCACTTAGGAAGTAAGGTACAGGGAACTGGGGGAAGAAAGTGTTTGCAAGCTACTGATGCTCACACTAAGCAGATAATGTGCTTTCAGTCTCAAGGGAGGATTTCTGCAAGGTGCAACTAGCTCAACATGACTTACCAATTGTGGAGTCTAAACAAGGCTAGAATGTGAGCAATGCTTCAATTCAGAAGTCCATCAGCCTTAATATTTGTTTAATGAACTCCAATCCGTAAGGGCTTAGTCCAATAAAGACTCAGCTAGGAAACTTAATTGATTAGGCATACCAGGGCTTCATTTCAAGCTGCCTTATAAATGACGAAAAGCAAGAAACAATCATTTGGTCAAACCAGTATTCTGACTAAAATCTGTTACTAAGAAAATAAAAATCCAATACTGGGTAGGAAATCCGGGAATGAAAAAGGAGAGCTCTTTTCATTCATGTCTAATGGTAAATGAGAGATGGAAATTCCCTATTTCACAGAGGATGTAAATTCCCTATTGCACAGAGGTGCAGGAAGTATTTGTCTTTAATTATTGGCCATCACTCAGTGATGCTGTTGTTACCTGTGGTACTCCATGAAGCTCCCACCCTGGTCCCCGTTCTACACATAAAGGCATGAAAAAAGCTCAGTATTGAAACATATCACATAGCTTATGATGCCTTTGCTTAAATGCTCTGCGGGCCCTCTGCAAGCCAGAGGAGCAAGAACACCCCACAGTTACAAATACTGACACAATTCTCACTCACCCAGGGAACCCTGAGCCACACATTTCATCTTGACATAGGAGGAAGGAAAAGAAAAGCCGGAAATAATTGAAGTTGCTTTTGCTTCAGCAGTGATGTATAATAAACATATGTTGATCATGTTCATTGTCTAGTTAGCATAAAAGAGAACGCCGATGTTCCCAATGAACCTGGCACCTGACAAATTCTAAAGCTAAAATGATGTTTGTTTATAAGCCATTAGAAGAAAAGAAACATAATTAGAAATCTTTTAGATTACGGCTGTGCCAATCCATCAGTCCTAGCTTCTTTCCAGTATGGCCTAATTACCCCATCAAGATGTCTAAAGAGCAATCGATAGTAATTATCTGATTACTATAGATCTTCATTATGTCCAAATTATCTCTCTAGGATGTCTAAAAGAAGATGTGTTGTATTCTATGAAGGAATTAGATCCAACAGTATATCAAATCTGCATGTTCTACAAACAGCAAAAGATCACTAAGGGCTATGTAGTTTGGGAAGAGATATTCAAATCATTCTAAATTTTCTTGATATGGAAGGCCACCAAAAAACCTAAACAGCCATAGCCTGGAATTTCAGAATCACAGTCTTGAAAGCTGAAAGGAACCTGAGTCATCATCTGATCTAAACCATATATGAAAGTGATCCCCATGTTTGACAAATGGTTCTTTACCCTCTGTTTGATGACCAGGAAGGAGGGGGAACCCATCACCTCTTTAAGCAATCCATTCTACTCTTGGATAGCTCTAATGGTAACAAGAACACTTAGGTGGCACAGTAGATAGAATGATGGGCCTTGAATCAGGAAGATTCCTCTTTCTGAGTTCAAATCTGGCCTCAGACACTTGCTAGCTGAGTGACCCCGGGCTAATTGCTTAGCCCTGCCTCAGTTTCTTCATTTGTTAAAAAATGAGCTGGAGAAGGAAATGTCAAACCACTCCAGTATCTTTGCCAAGAAAACCCCAAATGGGGTCATGAAGAGTGGGACACAACTGAATGACAGCGAGGGTTTCATGCAATTACATTGCCAAGCCCTTTCCCATGAATTTTAACGATGACTCACCAAGTATTTGTTAAGTACCTATTATCTATGAAGCACCAGACCAGGAGCTAAGGATACAAATACAAGTAGGACAATCTTAGTTCTCAGGGAGAGTATATACTATCCAGAGGGGGTGGGGTTATAATGTGTGTGCAGATAAGCAGAGAAAGGATATGTACAAAGTAAACATAGCTAAGGCCTGTGGAAGGAGCGAAGAGTTTCAAGGGATGAAGAAGGGGAGCATCCCAGGCATGAAGAACTTTGACAAAAGTACATATGCAGGATATGGAATCTTATGTATAAGAACAGCCAGTTGGTTAGTTTGAATGGGATGTAGTTTGCCTAACAGAACAATATGGAATCAGCCTAGAAAGATACATCAGAGCAAGATTATGACCATTTTTGAGTATTAAACAAATAGTTTGTATCATTGTACAGGAAATGGGTAGACATTGAAGCTTCCTGAGCAGAGAAGTGACGGGGTCCAACTTGTGCTTTAGGAAAGTCCATTTGGCCATTATATGGAAGAGTTAGAGGGGAGACACTGATGACCCGGAAATCGATTGAGAGGCTACTCCAGGAGTCCAGGTGAGCAATGATGAGGGACTGAACAGAATGATGGTAGTGTGGATGGAGAGAAGGAATGGATGTGGGAGATATTATGAAGACAGAACTGAGGAGACTTGGAAAGTGATTGGAATGGGAGGTGTTGAAGGAGGGGGTGAAGAATCAAGGGTGATCCCAAGATTGCAAGCCCAGGTGACTGAAGGTGCTCTCAGCAGAAACAGGGGAAATTGTTGGAGTGGGGTGAGTTTAGGAAGACAGGTAATGCTTTCTGATTTGGACATGTTGACATGTTGAGTCTGAGGTAACTATGGTATGCTCAGGTGGAGACGTTCAGCAAACAATTGGGATTGTGGGACTGGAGATCAGAAGCCTAGTTTTCTCTCTTGAATTAAATAGTAAATTAGTTTTAGCAGGAATAAAATAAGCATAGCAAACAGTAGAGAGCATTGTGTTGTATCAGAAGACCTGAATTCTGGATCTCTGTCACTTACTACTTGTATGACTTTATGTATGTATGACCTGTATCACCTTAGTAAGTCGCTTAACTATTTGGGGCCTTAGTCTACTCATTGATAAAATGAAAGGGTTGAACTATCAGACTTTTAAGGTCCCTTCTAGATCTAAATCTATAATCCCATGAAAGAAGAGAAGGGGGAGAAATAGTAATTCCCTTGAAATCATTTGTGTCTTTTTAAATTTTATGTTAAAATCGTTTATATGACAAATACATAAAGACATGGAAAACAATGTTGACATGGAAAGTGGAATGTAACCAAATCATGCTTTCAGAAAGAAACATAGCTTTCTTTTTAATGAAGTTATCCTTACTACCTATAAAATTACTCTCCCCTTAGCTTTCTGTTAGACATTTCAAATAGCTTGTCTGATTCCAAGATTGAACCTTCCTCTCTTGCAGGAGGTAGGGGTTTATTTCTAGTTTCTACAATGCTGTACCCACCTCTCCAACTCTGCCCACTGACAGATTTTTCTCTCAAGAGCCTATTTTCTCAGACAATACAATCAGGTCTCTAACCTCTCTCTCCTGTGACAGCAAAAATGTGGAAGAACAGAAGAAACTAATAGTGAATGGTGCAAAGAGCAGACTGTTTGCAGCCAGGACCTCTATGTTGGA